CCCCGCGGGGGGGGCTGTGGGGGGAGGGTCACCCCGCGGGGAGGGCTGTGGGGGGAGGGTCACCCCGCGGGGAGGGCTGTGGGGGGAGGGTCACCCCGCGGGGGGGGGTGTCTCCCCATCAGGAACCTTACTAGGAGCCTTGGCCTTAAACCTGCGGCCTTGGGGCCGCCTCGCCGGCTTGCCTGGGCTCCCATGACCCGCCCGCTGCTGGGCACGCAGCTCCGCTGCCCATCCGAAAAAGCACCATTGACACCCGCGTCTCCCCCCAGGCCCCGCCGCGCCACGCCACGCTACGCTGCTGTTCGCTGTATCTTAGGTTCCTGATTAGCACAATGTCTGGAGTAGAGCAGCTTAGGAAGTTTAGTGTGTGTCTAAGCATCTTCAGGGTTTTTTGCCGGTCCTGGGGCACAAACTCTACTCCTTGGGCCAAGCTCCACTTCAGCTTTTTTGGTAGTTAATTGGAGAATCTCAATGGCTTTATCGCCTGGGCCAGTTTCAAACCTAGATCCTTACAACACAGACACCAGAGCCCAACGCTGCTTCCGGCTTTTTCTAAGTGGGTAATTGGAGATGATCCTCAGATCTCAGCCTACTGAGTAGCTAGGATGACAGGCTTGAGCCACTGGCACCCCACTACAGTACTTTTTTTTTTTTTGCCGGTCATGGGGCCTGAACTCTGGGTTTGAGCGCTGTCCCTCAGCTCTTCAGCTCAAGGCTATTGCTTTCCAGCCTTTTCTGTTTATGTGGTGCTGAGGAATCGAACCCAGGGCCTCATGCTTGCAAGGCATGCACTCTACCGCTGAGCCACCTTCCCAGCCCCACTACAGTACTTTTTTAAAGGGATTCTTATGGACATCCTGTCAAAAATTGCTCATGCTTGTTTTTCATTGTCTGATAAGGTAGTGCTAACTCTAAATTTTTCTAACAGATACATCTTAAAAACCGTACAGAATTTCAGGATGACTGACACTTCTAAAGCTGTTCCAAATTTCGAAGAGATGTTTGCAAGTAGATTCACAAAGGACGACAAAGAGTACCAGGAGTACTTGAGACACCCTCCTGAATCTCCCCCAATTATTGAGGAATGGAATAGCAGAGCCGGTGGGAACCACAGAAACAGAGGCAATCGGTAAGTTTGACTTCAGAGTAAACACCGATCTATCTGGGAGAGGACCTAAGGCCTGTGAGGAGAGCAGTGCCTGGGACAGAGTACCATCAGTGTTTGCCTTGAGGTATGGTCTTCGTGGTTGAAGTACTGAGGATTGGACCCAGCGCCTGGTGCATGCTAGGCAAACACTCTGCCATTTGAGCCACACCACTAATCTCTGTCATGGGCAGGATAGTATACATCTGTAATCTTAGCACTCCGGGAGACTGAGGCTGGAGTCACAAGTTCATGACCCGCCTGTGCTGAATAGCTTAACTCTTTAACTTCAAAACAAGTAAATGGTCCATGAAAGAAAAAAATATTAAACCTTTTTTTGTAGACTAGTATTTTTCTTTGCAAATTTTTCCTGTGTTTATGTGCTGGTCCTGAGGCTTGAACTCAGGGCCTGAATGCTGTCCCCTTTTTGCTTGAGGCTAGCACTCTACCACTTGAGCCCAGCTCTACTTCTGGCTTTTTGGTTCTTAATTGGAGAAGAGTCTCACAGATTTTCTTGCCCAGGCTGGCTTCAAACCACGATCTTCAGATCTTTGCCTCTTGAGCAGCTAGGTTTATCAGCCTGAGTCACCAACACCCAGCTCTATAGTGTGTTTTTTTTGGGTTTTGATCTGAAATGAACTTGCTGTTTGACACTTGCTTTCACTTATTTGGTGCTCTACTATATCTGAGCTACACCTCCAACCCAAGTATAGTTTTATTGGTCAGTTGTGGGGCTTGAACTCTGGGTCTGGGCGCTGTCCATGACCTCTTTAGTTCAAGGAGAGTGCTCTACCACTTTGAGCCACAGCGCCACTTTTGGTTTTCTGGTGGTTAATTGGAGATAATAGTCTCACAGATTTTCCTGCCCCAACTGGTTTTGAACTATCCTCAGACCTCAGCCTCCTGACTAGCAAGGATTACAGGCATGAGCCACTGGTGCCTGGCCCAAGTAAATATATAATTTTAAAACTGCAGTCTGTGTACTTGATTCCATAAAGAAGGCATTGGGGAATGACATGAGTTGATTCTAATCAAAATTATTAAATACATAAATGGACATATTAAAACGAACCCCCCCCCTTGTATATCTAATTGATGCTAAAGAAAAAAGGTACTGTTTTGATTTTGCTATACTTTGGAAAGAAGTTTTAAAAGGTCGAACTTACATTTAATAATTCAAAATAAAAGAATAACTTACCATATTGATGTTGTATAATTTAGAAGCCGCCTGTTTGCTTCAGAACTGTTGTGTGGCTTGGATTCAGTAGTTCCCCTTTTCCAGTAAAGTGTATCTAATGCCACGTTTGAAATCTTAGGAAAACTTTGACTTAACTGGTGCTGTAACATTTTGTAGATTAGAAAATCCAGAAGTCAAATGCACTGGGCTAGGTTTCTCACGTGTACGCATGTGTGTTTTTCTTGCAGGTTGCAGGATAACAGACAGTTTAGAGGTAGGGACAGCAGACGGGGATGGCCAAGCGACAGTCGAGCTAATCAGTGGCACGGGCGATCCTGGGGCAGCAATTACCCTCGGCACGGACAGGAGCCGTACTACCCCCAGCAGCCTCCCTATGGCTACTACTGAGGACGTGCACACGCGATTCAGAGAAGCCATTTGCGTTGCCAGCATGAGTCTATGTGCTGCATGCTGGTTGTCATTTTCCATCCTATTTCAGGGCCTGGGCTGGTAATTTTTTGGAATTTAAAACTAAAAAAAAAAAATCTTCCTAGAATGAGGTTATGGTTGCTGGAATACGAATCCCATCCAAAACTCTGTGAGTTACATTGCTTGGCTTCTCGGATTCATTAATCCTACGGCTTCATAGTGCTCTGGGTTTGCTATGTTTTCCATGTTTGTTCTACAGAAGTTCTGCTTTCAACACAGAAATAAAAATTTGAAAATAACAGAAAATGCTTGCTTTTACTTTGTAGGGTAAAGGAATAACCACATTCCTAGTTGGGTTTTGTTTTGACCTTCTCCAGCAGTTTGCAGTGAATCTGTGAAGGCAGTCAGACGACCCTGACGAGCCTTCAGACCTGCCTTGTATCACGAAGCCAGAGGAACAGCACTCAGGCTGTTTGGAGTCTGGTGTTTCAGTGTTTTCAATGTATGGTGCTAAATCTCTGATTGATTGTATGTATGTGTGTGTGTGTACGTACTTGTGTGTACATACATGCCATTCCCCTCATGTTTGTACACTTACATATATTTTCCTGTTATGAGCCTCCTCATAAACAATTTAAAAAATCCTTTGAAGATGTACTTCTCAGTCTTGCTTTTATTTTTTTTCAGCTTCCTTTTTCAATTTCTCTAAGATCTCTTCTGGTGTTGTAGAGGCCAAAAGCTTCACCACCTTTTCGCGAGATTTACCACCCTGAGCCAAAAGGAAAAACATGAAATGTTCCAAGCTAGTGAGGACAGCAGTGTCACAGATGGTTTCCCTTTTTCTTCTGAGGTTCTGGGTTTGAGCTCAGAGCCCCGGGCTTCCAGGGCTGGGGCTCTGCTGCTGCTTGAGCCAGGTCTGCACCCTAAGTAAGCTTTCCTTTTTTTTTTGTTGGTCGGGGGGCTTGAACTCTGGGCCTGGGTGCTGACCCTCAGCTCTTCAACTCAAGGCGAGCGCTCTACCACTTGAGCTACAGCACCACTTCCGGTTTTCTGGTGGTTTATTGGAGAAAGGAGTCTCACGGTCTCTCCTGCCCGGGCTGGCTTTGAACCGCGATCCTCAGATCTCAGCCTCCTGAGTAGCTAGGATTACAGGCGTGAGCCACCAGCGCCCGGCAAAGTAAGCTTTCCTAAGAGCTGAGCTACACTGTCCTGCCACTTCTGCTTCTACGGGTATACCTCCATTTCCATAGTAATAAAACTTCAGCATTTAAAAGTTCAGAATGAAAACCATTTAAAAATACCAAAAGGGTTACAATTTAGTAGCTTTGCACAAAAGTAATTCTAAATATAAACAAATTGCTATTTTTTTATTTTATTTTTTTTTTGATAGGTAGAGCTCTACCACTTGAGCCACAGTGCCACTTCCATTTTTTTGTTTATGTGGTACTGAGGAATCAAACCCAGGGCTTCATGAATGCAAGGCAAGCACTCTACCACTGAGCCACCTTCCCAGCCCCAAATTGCTATTCTTTATATTGTTGCATATTTTTGGAAAATCCTAAATCCAAAATAACCACCTATCTGAATGCTATGATTTCACAACCAATGAAAAGATGTGTATTTACATGTGTTGAAAAAGATAAAAAAACTAAGCAGGGCCAGGCACTAGTGGCTCTAACCTAATCCTGGCTACTTGGGAGGCTGAGATCTGAGGTTTGTGGTTTGAAGTCAGTCCAGGCAGGAAAGGCCAGGATACTTCTATCTCCAATTAACCACCTAAAAACTGGAAGTGAAAAAAATTTTTTTGCTGGGCACTGGTGGCTTATGCTTATCATCCTAGCTACTCAGGAGGCTGAGATCTGAAGATAATGGTTCAAAACCAGCCCAGGGCTGGGAAGGTGGCTCAGTGGTAGAGCGCTTGCCTTGCATGCCTGAGGCCCTGGGTTAAATTCCTGAGCACCACATAAGCAAAAAGAAAAAAGCTGGAAATGGCACTGTGGCTCAAGTGGTAGAGTGCTAGCCTTGAGCTGAAGAGCTGAGGGATAGCGCCCAGGCCCAGACAACCGGACCCCCAAAACAAACAAACAAAAAACAGCCTAGGCAGGAAAGTCCATGAGACTTTTTTTTTTTGGGTCCAGTCGTGGGCCTGAACTCTGGGCCTGGGTGCTGTCCCTCAGCTCTTCAGTTCAAGGCTAGCGCTCTACCACTTGAGCCACAGCCCCACTTCCGGCTTTTTTCTTTTTGCTTATGTGGTACTGAGGAATCGAACTCAGGGCCTCATGCATGCAAGGCAAGCGCTCTACCACTGAGTCACCTTCCCAGCCCTCCATGAGACTCTTATCTCCAATTGAACACCAGAAAACTGGAAGTGGCACTGTGGTTCAAGTGGTAGAACGCTAGCCTTGAACTGAAGAGCTGAGGGACAGCGCTCAGGCCCAGAGTTCAAGTCTCACGACCAACCAGAAAAAAGAAAAACTAATTGGAACTGTGGCTCAAGTGGTAGAGTAAGCACTAGCTTTGAGCAAAAAAAAAAATTCAGGAACAGTGCCCAGGCTCTGACTTCAAGCCCCACAACCAACAAAACAAAGCAGCGGATCAGATGGAATTTTAGGAGTAGTTTGTCTATCGAGGACTTAAATGCCACCCAGATTGAGCTGCAAGATGTAGCCCTGGAAAACCGCTTTAGAAACAGCTGTGGCCGGCTCCCCTTCCTGCGGTCTACTTCTGTATACTTAGGCTGGTGTAGCCAGGAGTCAGCCCCCGGGGTGAACCAGAAATCCCTGCTGACCTTGCTCAGGGAGATGAGCAACAGGAACAATGTCGAGTTTTTTTATTTGTGTGGCCATGGAAGAAGTGAGCAAGGATCACCTGACAACAGGTTCAGGGAACAAATCTTGAAAGGAGTACATGGGGAACATGGTGGCAACCGGGGAATCTACCAGGGGTCTGTTGAGGACTGAGAAACGAAAATGAAGGAAGCTCAAGAATCCAGCGAGGTTTGAATGAATCTGTGAGCGAAAAGCAAACCGGCTTTCCAAATTATTGGAAACAAATCACTACTATAGCAATACCGACCGGAGGCTCACCTTCTCCAGAACCACATCGCTCTTCCTGAGGTCCAGCACCTTGGAGAGGAACCGGCAGAGCTCGGCGTTGGCCTCTCCCTCGGTGGGCGGGGCTGCGATGGCCACGCCCACCGCGTCGGTGGTCACATCTGGAATGAAACGCGGGGGGTCTCAGCGTCCAGGAACTTGTTCTTCACGCAGTTTGCATTGGCCCGGCCCAACGGGGTTCACTGAATCCCTGTCGGATGGAGCAATGGCCGCTCCAGCTGCCCGCGCGGCAGGGAGATCAACCGTACGGTCTCCCGGACCGACAGGCCGCGGCTGGGGCTCGACTCTGGGCAGCGGGAGTGCACTCGGCCTAACGGCCAGGGCTCCGCAGGGGGAGCGGCGCTTCGCACACGGGCGCTCCGGGCTTCCACCTCGGGGAAGGCGGCGCGGGCCGGGAGCAGGTGCCTGGCTTCGGCCATGTGTGCGGTGCTGTGCGGTGTTGGCTCGCAGTCCCTGCCGCGGCCCGGCCCGGCCGGCCCCGCCCCTCCGCCCTCCGGCCCCGCCCCTCCGCCCTCCGGCCCGCCCCTCCGCCCTCCGGCCCCCGGGCGCCCACAGTACCCGTGACGGCGTTGTATCTGGAGCCGGGTTTGGCCCGGACCGCTACGGTGACGGACCCCCCCGGGCCGGCCGCCACGGGGCCCGCAGGAGGGAGCGGCCGCTCGGGCTCCTCGCCCCGGCTCTTGCCCTGCAAGGACAACGCCGCGCACACGTTACGTCTCCCCACGCGCGGCGCCGCTCGCCCGGGTCCCC